ATTCCCTCCGAGTACTCTGAAAGCACCATCAACGGCTCCTCGGGCTCCTCATCTGCTCACCATGCCTATCCGCAACGCACCTTCAGCGTTGCTACTTCATCGACCATGCCCATGTCAGAAAGGTCATATGCTGGACCCCAACGTCCCACGCATCCCTACGGCCTCTACACACAAACGACCGCGCCTGTTGACGCCCCACATGACTCGGACATCCCGGTGGGTTTTGGGAGGCCAGACAACTATCGAAGGCGTATCGGGCCCGACGGCGAGGAGATCGCCGACATGATTGGCCCCCTCGGGCATACCGAGGAGCTTCCGCCGTACAGCAGATATCCGGACGAGGCGTATGCGAGGAAAACTACGGCGAGCAACGAGCAAGAAACGGATGCCGACGCGGCACCTCAGCAACCAGTATTGAGTCCGCCCATCCCCGGAGCAGGAGGCATCGGGCTGGCAACACGGAACCCCGAGTTCGAATCAAGGGATGATCTTGACACACCACAATCGAGGCTTTCTACACGGAGTGTCACATCTGATTCTGTCAGTCAACACGAGATCAACACAGCCGCCCAGACCTTCAACGAAAAGGATGACCATCGCTGGCAGAAGAGAGCGAAGAAACGCATGTGGGGCGTTGTGCCGTACTGGGCTGTCTGCCTCGTAGCAGTCGCTCTCCTTGTCATGTGAGTCTCGCTTTGAAGCGGCACGAAACTCGTAGCGTGAACTAACCACCTCACAGGGGCATTATCCTTGGTGCGGTTATAGGCACTCTTTTCGCAAAAGAGGATTCCAACAAGCCGGGCCAGAAACCAGACGAGAGCGCCATACCAATCACATACACGACGCAAACACTGGACACGTTGCCCTTACCAACCAAGCCTGCTGACCTGCCCCCCCTCGACACGGGAACCTTCAGCTTGCCTCCACTGGTTTCCAGTCAGGCTCCTACTACATGTTTCAACGACACTACTCAGGCTCAGGCTTGGACTTGCAACATTCCTTTTACAATATACGCCATGGCTGTTTCTAAGCTGCCCAATGGCACACCTGTTTCAGACTACACCCTTCAGCTGACCCTCTCCAATGGCTCTAGTATTTCTGGCTTGTACAATTGGGGCACTCAACCACCGACGATTGATGATCCCATAATCATGAGACTTGTCAAGGATAACGACGCACCAGAACTGGGCCCCGCCTGGTTTGCTCAAGTTGCCTACAACAAGACTGTGATCATTGCGGAAGACAGGTTTCCTAACGTTGGGTCCATGTCAAGTAAGACGACAGTCAAGCGGAACTGGAGCTTGGAACCCCCCAAGGACCTTAAGGGCAAGGGCGTCATCGGTACCAATGCCGGGGACAGGCCATGGATTTGCACATGGCCCGGAACTCTGCTCGAGGTCTTCATCTATCCTTCTGAGAACAACAGTTTCAGCGGCTCGCCTACTCCGTCTACTTCGAACGACGCTACAACATCAACAGCACCCACGTCATCTACTAACGAGCAACCGGCCGGTGCGCCATATGGGCCTCCGACAACCACTACGAGAACGCCGAAACCGCCGGCGCCGCCCTACCCTAAAATTATGAAGATTGAAGAAAGTCGGATTTCCGATGACGACACCCGTGCTGCTGTCTGTCAACAGGTTGAGATATGCGATGACGGGTTTACCTCCGTGCCTGTGATTGGCGCCGATGGAGATCCAATCGAGGTCATCATTGTCGAAAACCAGCGACTCGTCGCGTACCACTTTGAGGAATCGAAGCGTTCGGTCAGAGACAAATCTCTGAGGCCAAGAAATAGTCAGCCTTATAGTCAGTTGAGCGAGTGTGGATGCATGTGGTGGTTCACATGAACTGGTTGAGCAGCGAACGTCGATGGTAGATTTCATGTGTTGAATGTAGCAAACATTGGGCGACAGGAGATATTAGTATCCTGACGTGGGAGCTGGCGTTCTGGTTGCTTGGAGTTTTGGCATTTCTTGTTTTGCCTGGGCTATACCCCATCAGCAGCCTGATTCTACGAGTCGAGCCTACTTTCACAGGCGTCGAGGTGATGCAAGGCCGGGTACGAAATTTATGTACCAGTAGGCTTGGAGGATGGCCACACAAATGAACATAGGCCGCATGGTCTGCAATGGTTATATCTGTCCTTGTCTTGTCTCTCCTATCCGGGACATATAGAGCGTTTTATCAATTACAGCGGCGGGGTTCCTTCAGGCTACGGACGACACCTGCGCACGCATAGATAGATCAATTGACCATGAGCTTAATTGGTTTAGGTCGTGAATATGCATCAAGAATGATCTGGTGCACCCTGAATATTGAGATTGGTGGCTTATGCCTCGGTTTCGTCTTTACCGTCCGACTCGCGACCACCGTAATCTGCGGCTAGAGTATCAAGGAAGTTATCAGCCATCTTCTTAGCCCTTCTGCCCTCAAGCTCTTTCCTCCTTTCCTCTATTTGCTGCCGCCTAGCCTGCTTCTTGTCATCCAGCGCTCGTCTCTTCTCTTCCGTTTGCTGTCTCTCCTTCTCCAGGTTTTCCATTTCGGCCATCCGTGTTTCCTCATCCCGGCTGAACTTGTAGAAGCCTGCTCCTTTCGTTCTGATCTCGCTGTCTGCATCGTAGTGTTTGGCTTCGGGTGGCGTCGGACTCCTGTCACGTTTGCGCGCCAGCGCGTCCATATTTTCTGCATCTTCGGGCACGAAGGCGAGCGTTTGTATCGTGTCACCGTAAATGATTTGAGTCGGGGCCTTGGGGCGAGCCGCCATGCCCTCCAGTGCCTCTGCGCCGAGAACACCACGCCGGCGCTGGCGCTCCAGTCGGTCGATCTCGGCCTTGGTACCGCGCCTCAATCGACCGAATTCATCCTCATATTCAACCAACTCATTGCCATCTGTATTATTCTCAGATGATTTCCCTTTGTCGCCTCCGCCGTCGTAATCGTCGTCGGACCCCGAGCTAGACTCGTCATCTTGCTCACGCTGTTCTTCCGCCTCAGCCCATTTGCGATCAAAGTCGACGAGTGGTGCGGCCTCGTTCTCCTTGGAGACATAGTCGCCGCGCTTCATGGCGGCGTAGAGCCGAGCCTTTTCTTCCATCTTGCGCCGCGTGCTGGCCAACGTCTGCGCCTCGTCCTGCCCAGGCGCATCCTTGAGGGACAGCTTATTGTCGCGCCTCGCCTCTCGGGACGCTCTGGACTTGAACACCGCGGCATCATTCGTGATCTTCGAGGGCCCTGGCCGTGACCGGGAGGCAGCGGACGTGGTAGATGTGGCGGAAACGTTGAGTAGCGAGGTCAGTTGTGCTGTGAAGTCTAGGGTGCTTGTCAAGGCCGCGTTGTTCTTTCGCCTTTTGGGCGCGGGCTGGCCGTAGAGGTTCGGGTTTTGGGGCATGGTTGGGGCAAAGCTATAGACAGTAGTGAAAGAAGTGTGCTCTATGCTGCGGTCAAGGAACGCTGGATCATGGGTTGGAGATGCATTTGCGAGAAGGGAATTTCGGTTTGATCGTTGGGTACCTCAGATAGCTATTGTAGATAAGCTGATAAGGATGCGCAGAGGGTTCAGGATGCGGATGGCGATCGAAGGCTGGGAAGGGGGGGAGGGGGGGGGGTTCCTGAATCCACCCCATCATTGTACTGTACACCCCCAAGCACTTTGTTGGATGACTGATGTCTGTTATTTCCCCACCGATCTTCATGGATCACTAGGAAACATGAGCGACATCACTACTTTATTGTCTCTTCCTGTGCCGAATCTTTTCTTTATACCATATCTCAAGGCCCGCCAACATGCTCGCCAGTCGATGAAGGCCTGACCAGGGACAAAAACGCTTGAATACTGCGCTGCCGAAACTCTGCTGTTGAAGAACAGTCTGTCACTGTTGGGGCAAGGCTTATAGCTCAAGGTTTACTGATAAAGACTGGTAACATTTGTCTCTTGCGCAGAGATGTACAAGAGCTCCCTTGGTTGCTGGTAGGCACAGCAGCAGCCTGAGTGTTCTCCTGCTGTATAATGTAAGACAGCAACAAAAGCATCACGTTTATTTCAATGGCCACCCTCGAATATCGTCCCATGTGAACTATGCGCATACCGCACGATGCTCGTCCGGTCTGTCAATTTCTGAATAGGTATCGCAAGGTCATTGAACCCGCACCAAGCATGGCGATTTCGTCGGTGTATTCGCGAGCCTCAAGTACTTATAGTGGTCTTTCCGTTGAACCCCTCACTTGCTCTCGCTGTTGAGGGACCCGACGCCTGCTTCCGTCCGAAACTTGCTGTAGAGCGACGTGCTTGTCTTGCTGACGGTTGTGAGGGCCCGCCTCGAGGACAGTTGCGCCGGGCCTATGCCGAGCGGCATTTTCGGTGAGTACAGGCGTCCGGCCACAGAGAAGGCGACTGAACCAGATGACAAGATCCAGAAGGACCAATATAACGGCTGGTAGTATGAAAAACAGACCCAGCGCGATCTTGTGGAAGAAAGTCAGCACCGCTGCTGAATCCGATGTTCGGGCGGGCGAATAGGAGAGCTACGTACGCAAGCACCAGAGATGTATCTGACTATTGTGGGATAGGTGGATAACATCATCGTAGAGTCCATAAACATCTGTATCCAGGACGAAGAGACTGGCTCCTGGTCTCGATTCTCCATTGTGATATCGCCAACTGCAAAGATGGGTTTTCCTTATGGATGTGCGAAAGTGGTTTTCGGGAGCAAAATATCGAATGTACACTGAAGTTGGAAGCAATGAACGTGGCCCCGGGGACTAGGTGGCTATCGTGGGCATTCAGATGATCCCGAATGCCTGGTGCTATCATGCCTCTCTGCAGAGAACTCGTGCCTTAGACTTGATGCTCATGGAGAAAATCAATGCTGAGGAAATCCATCCAGGCAATTCATGACATCAGGGGTCGCGACAGTCTGTTGGGGGACAGAAAATTTGCGCAGTTGAGTAATGCAAGTGATCCGCTTTGGTAGGCAGTAAGATGTTGTTAATGAGATGTAACTGATGTTGCATGCATTTCGTTCGATGACACTGAGTGATCACCCATACACGCGGGTGGCAGTGCTGGAAGGAGATGCTGGGGTGTCCATACGTGCATGGGGAAGATGGAAGGGGTCCATACGCACCGGCCGGCATACCTGGGAGGTGTCCGACAGGGGTGTGTGTGCTGTGCCCCGCCTTCTACTCACCTTGAACGCGAAAACTCCACCAAGCCTGCCCCACGATTAGGATTCGCATATGCTTCACAATCAGTCAAGCCACCTCTATTTCTATTCTCCTATCCACCTAGAGGAACTTCTATGCAACACCTGAGAATTCACGGAGACACAGAGGAGCCCGAAGCGCCTTCCTTTGAGAAACCATGGGCCGAACGAAAAGTCGAGCTGAGCAGCGCGATAGCTGGCGCAACACTCGTGATCAAGATGCTACCGACATGCCCAGAAAGAAGTTCTATCGGCAAAGAGCACACGCGAACCCCTTCTCCGACCACCGTTTGGCTTAGTACGCAGCAAATCTATTCTGAAATTGGCATCGCCTCGCTGACTTTGTTCTTCATAGCCCTCCAAGGCCAGACTGCATGGACTGGTCATCCTTTTACCCGGGCTTTGTTGCGAACAGAGACGATCAGACTACGCTATCAACCCCTGCGAGCGAAGCACTTCCCACAGTAAAACCTCTGACCCAGAGTGTCGAGGTTGTAGACATTGGGTGCGGGTTCGGCGGCTTACTTGTAGCACTTGCACCTTTGTTGCCCAATAAACTTATCCTTGGTCTGTACAAGTATAATGTCCTAGCCTGCCATGTCAGTACTAACCTTACCTCGGGACAGGTTTGGAAATACGAGCCCAAGTATCCGAATTTGTGCAGGAGCGCATACGAGCCCTGCGAGCCCAGAACGTCGACACAGCTTTATACCAAAATATCGCCTGTCTCAGGGCCAACACCATGAAATTTCTTCCCAACTTCTTCGCTAAAGGCCAATTATCTAAAATCTTCATCTGCTTCCCCGATCCGCATTTCAAGACCCGGAAACATAAGGCCAGAATCGTATCGCCAACGTTGAACTCGGAATACGCGTATGCACTTCGTCCAGGCGGTATAATTTACACGATCACGGATGTTGAAGCTTTACACCGATGGATGGTCGAGCATTTGGAAGCTCACCCTTCATTTATTAGATTGACAGCCGAGGACGAAGCTTCGGATGAGTGCGTCAAGGTCATGAAGTCCGAGACGGAGGAAGGCAAGAAGGTTGAGCGGAACAGCGGCCACAAATTTGTGGCTATATTCCGTAGACTGGAAGACCCCTCTTGGTGATGGCAAGTCAACAAAATCTCCATGAACAGTTTTCAATCTGATAAATCCGATCACGGGCTTGCCACAACCCGATGCTTGATGATTTGCAAGCAAGTCAAGCAGGTTGCACCGCGCCTGGGCGGGCTTCTTTACGCGACGGGCCAACTATGTGTACTAGGAACAGGCACCTCGCGAGGAGTAGGACACTGATCCGATTCCCCCTCGCTCGAGGCCTAGTAGTGTTTCTGACTTGAACCTGCCACAACGGGCATGCCTAGTCACATGGCTTGCTCACAGTCTATGGCTGCTTTAAAGGGAACAACATGCGTCTGAGTGCCAGTCTTGGCGAGCCATAGTGTCCCTGGTAGGGATAAGATGCTTTCTTCGGCTGTACGATAGAGCAATACGAAGTAAATCATTCGAGTCTCGGCTCAAATGAAACGTACATAAGCACGGCAGTCTGACCAAGTCACATCTGTCTGTTCAACTAGTTTGACGTTGAATGCAGCATTAAATTGCATGGTATAGTCCTCGAGTCGTTGACAGGGATGCACCTTATCTGCATCATGGGTCAGCCTCACCGCCTGCCAATCAGGGGCGCTTGTTGTGCGACAGCTCGCCCAAGTGTCCCGGGATTCCCAAAGCCCCCCCTCTACGACTCCTATGCGACATCAGATACGAATTCTAGCGACAGCATGATTATGACTGCAAGTCATGCCATGACATTCTTCATTATTTGGATTGCTGGATTATGGCTCTCTCAAAAAGAGACCTAATCCTCTCCGGCTTCGCATGCTTTGTCGGTTGGGGATACGTCGTTAGCTGGGCTCCCGCGCTACGATGGTCAGGTTACGCCTATTTCAGCGGCATTGCTTCGACCTTGTTCGCCATCCTTTTGGTCATTCTCCTTACTTCCAGGGGCTCACGAATCACTCTTAATCACCGGGCTCCCCGCCCGAATGGCGCCATCTTCCATGGACCGACGGCATGGGCAACTGATTGCGCTAGCCTACAAGTTCGACAATCGTATTCAAAGACGTCACTATACGCCAGCCTGCCGAACGTCTCCAGCGCCCTTGACGACCTCCTTGGACTTATTATGCGCGACTTCGTCTCTTCTTGGTACTTCCACATAAGCAAGAACCCCACCTTCTCAAACGAAGTTGATAAGGCCGTCCGTATCGCTCTCGGCAATCTTCGAAACCCGGCTGTTGGAGCTCGACCTCGCCGAAATAGTCACCAGCAGGCTTGTTCCCGTAATGACAATACACTTCAAAGATTTCTGCGATGCGGAACACTCGGTTCGAGGGAAGAAACTCAACCGCTCTGTTACGGAGTCTGAAGAGCTGGATCTTGCCATAGCGTCCAAGTATAGAGAGGGCAAGCTACATCCCGCAGCCTCTCTGTCTTTTCCCGATACGAAGCTTGTGCAGCAAGACTACTTGCGGAAGACTGTTGCCCGCATTCTTCCCAGTTTGTTGCCACCGAATCTACTCGCCAGCCGCGCCGTGTCCATCATAATCCGCGAAATTGTGGCCTGTGCTATCCTCTTCCCAGTGCTACAATTACTTGCGGAACCTGATACGTGGAATCAAATCATGGAGAACTACGGGAGGTCGATGCTCCAGGACCGCTCAACTGTGCGAAAATTGAGGGCAGCTCTGGACCAACATGCTTCCCCAGCACCTAAGCCGGGCAAAGCTGCGATCATACCCCGCCTTGCCCCTGGTGATAGCGAACGCAAGTTCGAAAAGTTTATCCGCGCAATCCGGAAAGTCAATAACCTCTCCGACGCTCGGCGCCTTCGAAGTGAAATTGCCAGCCTTTACAAGCGGGACTCGTCACAGGAGAACCAAGACCAGGTCTATCTTCGCCGTCTGGACATGGGAAAACGCCTGCTTGATCAAAAGGTACAGCTCCTTGCCGTCGGCGGAGATCACAAAGCTGCAGCGCCTGCTGCATCGATGAATATCCCGGCACCGAGAACATCCAAGTTGGAGAATGCAACGCTCGTTGATCTCTTGCGCGACTCGTCCGGGTTATCGTACTTCATGGAATTCATGGACAGGCCCCATGTATTGCCTCTGGTGCAGTTCTGGCTCGTAGTCGACGGCTTCCGGAACCCGTTAGAGGAAGAGGAAGCCAACGATGAGCAGATGCCGTCGCAGCTTCCCATGTGGAGCGACTCTGATCGACTTGACCTCGCTCAGATTGAGCAGGCATACATGGCCAATCCTCAACTGAACATATCGCAAGCTGCCAGGAGTGAGGTGCGAGCTTTCTTGAGTGCCGCAAAGCTCTACGCCGGAACAGTATTACAAGGCTAGACGAGCCATACTCGGGGCGCAGTCCGCTGTCTTGAGATAAAGGCAGGGGCCGGAATTTCCAAATTTCAAGAAATCAGATCTTTTTTACAAATGTTCTAGCTTCGGTGGAGGCTTCAGGAACGCAACTTCCTATTTCACATCCTTCCCACATGACATCATCTTACGAACCCTCAGTGGCCGGCCCAGCACACCCGCCGACACATAGAGCTTCGCAATCGTATCAAAACAAGCCCAAGTCTGCCACACGACCAACTCCTCGACTCGCGCATCTGCAGCCCAAGCGTGGCGGCTCTGTGACAGACTTGAGGTCCATGGAGAGCAGTGGCACTGGCATTGATCATCTTGCCAATTCACGGCATTCCCTAGACGAGGAGCCCTCCAATCGGCTATTCGACGACGAGGAACTCGATGTCGACGGCATGGAATCCCACCGCAGAGCTTAGATCAAGACATCGACCAACTTGTGCCAGACACAACTGTGGTGCAAGCTATGGAAGAAGCACTAAATAATATCATGGAGGACGGTGATCGACCCAAAACGGCCGAGGAATTCAGAGCTTCTCTATTCGGACCGGAGGAGATGCGGCCAGCTAGCCTCTTTTTCAGGCGATAACGGTTCGACACGGGGCTCGGTGGATGCTGTGAAAACTATGGCAGCCGCAAAAGATGGCGAAAGACCAAGTCTGTCGTCACTGGGCCTCGTCAGCGCTGCGTCGCGCATTGGCGTCTTCGTGGACGATGATCTATTTGGTGACGAGGACAGGTACATTCCTGAGGAGCAAGATGATCTGGCCGACGAACCACGAGCGGATGAAGATGATGAAGTACACGAGGCTGCTCCTGGCGACCTGGGCTTAGCAGAAGCCATCGCAGCATTGTCTAATGACATTGAGCGTCTAGCCGCCCAGGATGCCGTCGTTGATTCTCTTACTCGAAAAGCAGAACTGACAAACAACACAGCCGAGCTTCGCATTTTGAGAAAGTCTAAAGCGAGCTTGCAAAGAGAAATGCGACGCAAGGAACTCCAGAGGCAGCAGTACGTGGTGCAAGAAAGCGACAACAGCTTATACGGGCGATCTACAGTCAGGATAAAGTCTATCCAAGTGGGACGAGAAGATGATGGGAGGGAATTCGCCTTGTACGTGATCGAAGTGCAGAGAAACGCTGGCGAGAAGATGCCGGCAGCTACGTGGATGGTGACAAGACGGTACAGCGAGTTCCACGAGCTTCACCAGAAGCTTCGTTCAAGCGTACCATCTGTCAGAAACCTCGATTTCCCTCGGCGACGGGTCATGATGAAGTTCCAAAGCGAGTTCCTTCGTAAGCGGCGAGCTGCTCTGGAAGTCTATCTACGTGAACTGCTTCAGTTGCCAGAGGTATGCCGTAGCCGGGATTTGCGCGCATTCTTATCGCAAAGCACAATTGCCGAGGGCCAGGACCTCGTCGACCGAGAGTATCAGAGGGATATGATCACCCGTCTATATGACTCGGTAACGGACGGCATGGAAGATATTTTGGGTAACATCCCGGTCCTTGACCAGCTATCGGTGGCTGGGCAGAACCTCATCGCGGCGGCCACCAGCCAGCTCAACACCATGCCCTTGGGTGTAGCCGAGAACGGCATCAGCGCGGCCGAGGCTGAGGCTGAGCTGAACGCTTTTGAAAACAAGGAATTAGAGCCCTTCATCAAACCAATCTGCGATATCTTTCTGGAGGTATTCGAGCTAAACAGGGGCAACAACTGGCTTCGCGGCCGAGCTGTTGTTGTGGTGTTGCAGCAGCTCCTGGGAGGCACGATTGAAAGGAAGGTAAGAGACAACGTCAAGTCACTCGTTCAAGAGGAATCCATACTCCGTTATATCGGACTGGTGCGCGACAGCATGTGGCCCGACGGACAGGCACGAAAAGAGCGAAAGGCCAGAACTGCATCTGAGAAGAAGAAAAGTCGCACAGAGGCTAGCTTGATGCTTGCAACACTCGTTCCTGATGTTGCCGGCAGTGTCGTAGGGAGGGCGAACGCCCAGGCTGCAAGCAGACGGATATTCGCGACTCTCAATAATTCCAGGCTCAAGTATGCGCATCCTCACCCTTTTCCGAACTACTCAACTAATGACAGAACAGCGCTCATCTTGCCTTCACTCTGATGGACGAGTTTATAGATATATTGTTTGAGTGACACAATGTTTGGGGGAGGCAGGGTTGTGATCCGAGGCTTTGGAGGATGGGAATCATTGCATACATAAAAGATTGAGAATTTTACCCAGAGGCGTCTGGGTGCCAACTGCATTGGTAGCAGCCTTCAATTCATCGAATTGCATTATTCACAGGCCGGAAGACTGCTGGCTTCACAACACCCGTACTCATAAACCAAGCGACAAACTGAGGTCGTCCGTGATTGAAAGCGCGTGCAATGTCGAGGAGCTCTTACTCTAGCCAGCCGTTAAGTGCTCTGCGTGGCAGGGGGCTGGAGAGGCTTTGGAGGTAGGTACTTAGAGGTACTTCTATCCTACCGGTGGCTTGCACAGCCGCACGGCACAACGTCAGCCCGTGGAGACCGTTTACACCTTCTCCACCCTCCTTGGTGCACAACACCCCCTGCCACATTATGCTCAAGGCTTCCCCACCTGGACCTCTAGGCGAGCCATCGGAAGCTCCTCTGCAGCTACCTACTCCAGTGTGCTTGCATCCAGTTGACCACGATTTAGCCGCTCCGCCTTCTACACCTCCCAATTCCACATCTTTCCATCAGCAGAGGAGTTGCCGACACCAGGTCATCACGGCTAAGAACCTCACCGACGGCGCTGCCATCGAGACTCTTGCGCTGCTGTAGCTGCAGCCGTAGCCCAGCGCCAATCTTATCACTTCAACCCACTCGGACCTCAGCTTTTGATACCTCCATACTGCCAACCTCTTGTCTGACACGGAGGTTCCTGCGCGCCAACCTTGATCACTTGTTTTCTCCCGACAGTCCCTCATCGCCCACTCCTCCCATTGCGGTCGCATCCTTCTGCATTTCTGCATCATCACAGCAGTTCCTCCGAATTTCGACACGTCGAGCGAATTGATAAACCCTTCAAAGACAGGCGCAGCCTCTCCATCCCGGCTCCACTCCACGACAAGATGACCGAGGTTTCGTCCACCAGGCTCTACCTGGGCAACCTCCCGCGTAATGGTAAGAAGACTCCCAGAGATAATATTTAGTCATGAATGTCATGATTCATCAATAACTCTGCAGCAATGACTGACAGGCTGCTTGCGACTAGTTACCAAAGCTGAAGTTGAGGGACACTTTGCTACCCATGGTACCGGCGAAATAACTGAGATAAAACTCATGAATGGATTTGGCTTCATCGAGTACAAGGACGCCATGGATGCGCGTGATGTCGTTCCTGGTATGTTGACAAGAAAATGAAAATGGCTCTTCTACAGTATGATATCGTTGCTAACCTCACCACACAGCCTTCCGTAAGCCTAGAGCCTCGACCGTCAACCGTACCAACCAACGAACCAACGAACCATCTCGCTAACCAAATATCACCAGACGGATCTGACTTCATGGGCGAACGTCTGACCGTTCAATTCGCTCGCGGCACCCGGCACCGCGATGGCGGCGCCGCTCCTGGTGGGTTCAACAACAATAACAACACGCACAACGAGCGGGCTGCACCCCGACCACGTCGTACCCAGCACCGGATGCAGATT